TCCTGTTGACAGATTGTGAGAAGGAAAGACACTTCGGATAAGAACAGTTCACAAAGAAATAGGCACAGAGATATACCCCGCTAACAAGCCTAGAAGAGGAAGCAGGCAAAATCTTTCACCCCATGGTAACAAAATACTTCCCACCACTTTATATAATATGGGTTCATATGCCATACCCATTAATGCAGTTGAATTTACTGCTGTCTTGGTCTCTTTTCCACCTTTCCGCTGGCACCATTCTCCGTGTCTTCTGTTATTGATTTGGCATTTCCATTTATTCTTCTGCAGGCTATTCAAATTATTTTAATACAACTCATAAGAATCACGCTGAAAAAATGCTCAAAGGTTCGGAAGATATTTGTCTGACATTCTACTCCCATATTCTACAGCAGTAGTCCTGGATATTTTCCGTAAGATTGGAAGGGGAGCCTGCCAAATACTGAACTAGACTAGCAGGTGGTACAGAGATAGTTTTTCCATCAGCAACTCAAAAAATACAGCAGACACAAATATTTCATGTGATATGTTCACAGGTCACACCTGACACAAGGCTGTAAATTAAGTCCACTCCTTTTCAACAAGCACAGACTGACATGTGGCAGAATAAAAGCATTTCATCCATCAGTATTTCAAAGTGAAACCAAACAACTGGAGATCCCCCAAAGGCAGACATCTGCACTTGAATATTTTAGATTGATTTCATCTTCACTTTTTAAATGTGCCAATAGTCTGACTTTCCCAAGGCCAATTCAGGCTACTGGAGGAATATACACATAGGTACAGCACAAGGCACGTCCATGTCTTTAAAAGCATTCACAAACATAGCAAATCTTCACTTTCCAACTAACTTAAAAATATATATTATTTTTAAGACTATCAGGCCCAAATGTCTAAGAACCATGTCATATGATCACAATATTCTAACATATGGCCAGGGAATAATCTTGGTGGAAGGGCTGTGCATTTTTGAAGCTTCCAAGCTTCATTTTTCCCTGGAATATGAACAAAAAGCCTACATTTTATTAAAAGAAAGATCAGAGTTTCTCATATATATGTGACACTTAGCTTAAGGCATTAAAAAAACCCAAATACTGCAAGAGTTGACAATGCTACATTTCAATATAACTTAATTAAAATACTAATCTTAGGGGCTGTGGGAATCAGTAAAGACAAACCAGGGATGGAGAGAGAGGGGATATGAATCAGAATAAGAACTAATAGCATAAAACCTCATAATGTTATCTGAATTAAAAAGGGAGTGAAAACATTCTGCAAATCAATATCCTTAGGAGACCAAAAAAATCCAAATAAAGGAAAAAAAAAGATAATCAACAACAAGAAAAAATGCAAAGGCAGGAAAATTCCCTTTATGGGCATTTTCAGTGACATTTATTAAAATAAAAGGTGATCAAGGGGTTCCATTGCAAAATCTGTAATTCAAAGTGAAGATCTCAGCACTTTCTGGAAAAAATCCAGCCTCCTTGAAAAGCAGAGAAGGTGAATAGTTGAAGTGTTGACTATTAGAGGTCATTTCTGACCTTTGTTTGTATGTAGCTGATCACATGACAAATAGTTTTTGGAAATACACTAAGGCAACAGTTCTCCAAGGGGAAATATGTTGCACATTCCATCACCATCATCAGTAACAGATAAGTTTTTACATTTATAATATGCTGGAAATTTAATATAAATAGGGCTTGTCTATTAGGCAGAGGAGCTGAACACAAGTTTCTCAGAGGAAATTGTGCTCTAAGCTCCTCTGATACAAGTCTGATAAAAGTACAGTTACAGGTGTAACTGTACTAATCTCACTGGAGCTCTTTTATATTTTACATTTACTCGGCTAGATGGAGTTCTGAATTTCTCTTTGTGCACTTTAACACTTACACAGTGACAAACATAAGAGAAACCAACACAGTCTTTCAAAAAAACATGCAACTGTAGTAGCAAGATATGAAGCCAAGACACTAGAAAGACAAATAGAAAGATCCTGAAATATTTCTTCAAGTGCTTTAAAAAACCCAAAAATTCCTTTATCCCAGTACTTTGCTTCTCTCCATAACTGTATCAAAGCCTTCCTCTCACGTGACTTCTACCAAAATTACTAACTCAGCTTTAAAAATCTCTAATTGCCCAGAGCATTAACTTTGTTTTTATGATAATCAAAATATCCCAAGTTTTTTCCTTACCTGCTCTTTTCTGTGATGAATATTGATAAGGACTTCGGTTCTCCAAATGCTACTTTTCCTGACCATTTATACAAGCTTTTTGACAGTTAATTTAACTTTGATTGTTATATGTTAAGTTTTAGATGTGGTTTCTGATTTCTCATACAAGTTCTACAGTTAGGAAGTTTGCATTCTCATCAGCAGACATGGCTGAATTGTAAATAGAATCATATGCTCAAAGCATCTGCCTTAATGACGGATATTAACTGGAGAGAGCCCGCACAGAAAGCATAAGCATTTGCACATCAAGGCCCCAAATTTCAAACTGCACTTGCTTCAGACTTATTTACAGGACTGCATCTCTAATTCCTACACATACAAAGCTTTAAATATGTGTTAGTGGAATGTATTATGTGCCTGAAGACACCTACAGATACATTTTGTGGAGCTGTAGCTTCAGAACAAGACCTTGAAGTCCTTAATTTCTGTTAAACATGTTTAACTATTTTTGCCTAGTAGTATTATGTCAGCTGGGAGGAAAATTTCTCAAGTAACTCTCTTCCTATGACATATCTGAATTTTTTTGTTTCATATACTGTTTCTGAAAACCTGCTATTTGTACTGATTAGCCATCCTGAAACCTAAATTGGTAAGAAGAAAGCTGGAGGAGGTGACTTAGACGTGCACTGAACTCAGAAACTGTGCATGAACCCATTGGTGCATGCTTGAAATACCACACAGCAATATCAGTAGCTGCAACATTAAGATAAAGACATCTTCATGACTTGAGGGACAAATGATCAAGTCACACTGCTTGTAGACAGGAGTATCCGTATTCCAAAATTAGCACTACGTATACTACTAAATGTAAAATTGCCAAGAGTGGGGATTAAGAAGCTCAGCTTCCTAAAAGTGATTTTTCTACATATACAATAATTTTAATAATGTTAATGGAGAGAGGAACTGGAGTGCCATGACTATCAGCTAATTGTATTAACATGTACACAACAACACGAAAATTTCATGCAACATCTGTTTAGCTACTGTTCATTACAAACATGTTAACAAAATCCTTTATTTGTACAACTCTATCAACTATCATAAATCATATAAACTTTGCTGTTGCTAGCTTATTTAAAACTTTCACTATCTACAACTAGCAAGTTACCTATATGCTCCTAAACACAGTAATTTAAAAAAAAAGAATATTAATTAAAAAAAATCATATGGTTTTACACTTCATTGTGAATTCAAAAGTCACCCAGATCTATTTATATATGAAAGGTTTAGTGTCACAGTTTCTGAAGTCCACACATTAAACCAAGACGAAGGTTGTCTTGCTAGCAAGAATTACCTTTGGACAAAAGGCCTTAAAAGCCATAACAAATTAAATATATCATAGTAGTAATACAGAGAGATTTTAAAGTTCTACATAAACGCTAAAATAAATTGCTTCCACTGGATGTCCATAAGGATGTGAGCATCCAGGGTGGGACTCTTCATGCCACAAATGTCCAAAGTATGGCTTCTCCCCTTGGGAAGCCCTTTAGATTGCAACAGAACACAAGTTCTGTTATTAGGCACTGCTTTCTGCCACTCACCTCACTTCAAAGCAGAGTCAAATAGATTTAACTGACACCTGTTTAATTCTTTTCAGCAGCTTTACCAAGGATGAAAATGGCATGCCCCCAGAGCACTCATTTCATCACTGTTACATCAGCCTCGTGCCACTGCTGCCCACCAGTCAGTCTGTACTACGCGTTTCCTTCTCTGCCTCATCTGCAAGTAACAGTTCTACCTCCTTACAGAACAGTAAGAACACTTCAGTGACTTGGATCCACACCTTATTGGTGTAATAGCACCAGGAGTAAGATCTGGCCACTGACAAAGGCCAAATCACCTAAGACCTGCTTGAAGTCTACAGACCAACTTGAATCTCTGGCTTCTTTTTAAAGCCATTGACTCTCAGTTTGTGCTGGTTGTGGTGGCTACACTGACACATATCTAGATAGTATTAGGGGGAAAAAAATTAATATAAACCTGTTTGGAGCAGAAAATTGGCTACCGTCAAGAGTAACAAGGTTTCACAATAATTCTATTGAGATTACATGAGAAATCTAAAAATTCCTCATCTCCCAAAGGTCTACCAAAACCACTTAAAGAAAATATCAGAATCAAAATGACTTATTATGTAAGAAACACGCATTGAAATTATTAGCAGTCTTAAGATTGTAAAAATACTCTGTAGTTTTGACTAAGACCATTTGCTTTTCATCACTATTCTCAGAATTTATTTTCCTGTCCCAGGATAAAGAGATATATGTCCAAAAATTCTGTGAGGATTCATCACAATCTTCTTCAGTCATCGCAGAGACACAAAACAACTTTTCCTTTCCCCCACACCAAATCAAAAAGGTGCAAACAGTAGTTAGAAAAATCGGTGTAAAATAGTGGATTTTACAGAAGTAAAACAGATTTTACTATTTTAAATAATGCTCCAAATTTTGCATACGTAGGATCATTTAAAAATTATTTTGCTATATTAAAACTTGCACTGAAACCACATTCTTGATGTGCTCCATCTGATAATTATACAATGCTAAAATTATACACTTGAAAAACTCATTATAAGATGACAGTAGTATGCTAATGTGTACTAAAAATTACAAGAAGTTTTAACAATAATGTTCCTTCCCTCCACCACCCCCCAAAAAAAGAAAAAGGAGAAAAAAAAAATCAGCATGCACTTTGGCATTAAGCATTTTTTTGGCATTTGGCTTTTTTTTTTTGCCAAGGAGTATCATTTTATAAAATAATACATTGTTGACTCACCACAGCATGTGCTATGTCTCATCTATAGGAAATAGTTCAAAGGCATCAACTTCATACATGGGTTGCCATAGCTGATATTTGAGTCTGGCCTGCTGTTGGTACAGGTTTCTAATACTAGCCCTAAGCACAAAAAAAGAGAAAGAAATATTTGGGGTTTATTTTTCAAATCTGATAGAAACAGAAAATTTCAAAAAACTAAGCTAACCCAGAATATCAGTATCTGCACACCATATAGCAAAGACTTGAGATTTTTCTCTGATTATACCATAGTGCATCCGGTTCAGGCAGTATCTGTACCATAAATTTCCCTTCTTCCATGCAAAGAAGAAAGGCTAGAGAGAGAAAATAATGCAGAATGAAGTGCTGTTTAAGTGGGGGAGGTGTGTCATGATTATTCCCCTACCAGCAAAAAAAGGGGGGAAAAAAATTAAAAAATCAAGGCCCTACTTCTCAGGAGCACATATTCAAGTCTGTTCAAATTGCAACAGATGGTGATAAAAAAAGTCATAAAACTGTTCTAAAATAATTATTTTTGTTTCCATACTATCTTTCTCAGGTCAGATCTTCAAATTTTTCTTTGGAATAAGGAAGAGCAGAAACTTTACCTATAACAAGTTAAAATATGTACACAGTCATCTGTCACCAATAGCTGGGAATGGAAATTAAATTTGACTTGTGACATTATTAACAGCTTTAAAAACTGTGTGATATGGACACATACAGGCATAAGAAAAGGCCTGAGAATTACTGCTATTTATCAAACTAGCATCCTCTTAAACAACAAAACATTACAAAAGAAGTTCTACTGCCAAAGTGCATGAGAGACAACCTCAAGAAATGTGGTAAAAAGCAAATGCTCTGGTATTAAGACAGTGAATAAAAGATGGAACAATCAAACACACAGTGCTCTAGTGTCTCACCACTGAACAAAATTGAGAGATTACTATTAAGCGGAAGGTTTGGGCAATATTTTCATACCCCTGTACCACAACAGGTTTTCAAATATCTCAGAAGAGAACTAAAACCTTGTACTAAAAATAGAAGATTAAAAATCCTCATGAGAAAATCACTACCCAACAAGAGAGGCCCCATTATACTTCACTGAACTGGGTCCAGTGAACTCAGGCTTCCTGAAACCCCACCTCAAATTGCAGTTCTTAATTTCCTGGATTACTGACCTCTTAGTGTAGAATCCTGGTGAAGCAGCTACTGACTTGACTGGAAGGCTCTTCTGAACCTCCAGCTTTTTTCATGACTTTACATCCCTTCTGTAGAGATGAAGCTGAGGAGAACATACCACCACCACTAGTGAATTCATACACCAAATTCTTCATTAAAAAAATCTCATTTTATAACAAACAAACAAGACTGGAAAGTACTGGGACCTGAATTTCCTGTTCTTCCCTTCTAACAACTGGCTGAGACAGATTCTAAAGCTTGCTAACAAAGCTTACAGCTATCAAGCTAAAACACAGTATAGCAACTCAAGGACAGCTGCGTAACTTTCGCAAATAGTGGACAGGGGATTGTGAAATTCTGTCCCATCCTCTGTGCTGCCTTTTATCTCTACTTTAATCTCACTATCACAAATAATAGAAAGGTAACATAGCCTTAACACCTGATATTTCACACTAATTAAAATTGTATGTTGCTTTCAGTTTTAGACCATCAGTTTCAGACGGTTAATCAAGTACAAAAGATTTTGTTTCTGTGAGAGACTTTTTCTTATATCTGCCTCCACAGATGGTGCTGCCAGAAGGGAAAAAAAAAAAAAGGAATTCACAGCAAGTGCAGCATTTTTTTAAATTTAACTGCTGCCCTTTCATGAAGGCTCATTTTTCTTGCAAGTAGCCTTCAAAATCGTAAGTATGCAAGAGTCGCAGATAAGGGTAGCAGACAATGAGCATTGAAAGCCAGGTTATATCCATATTCAGTATTGTTGTGCAATAATACAGGGAGAGACAGGGAAGTCTCTCTCCTTTACTCCTGATGACATAACAGAGCAGCAACTGTGGTAATACTGCAATCACTAGGCTTTTAGGACATCATTTCTAGTAGTGCTATTATAAGCTCAAAATGTAATCAGTGGAATGGGAGGGGCTACGGGTATAGAACGCTTGCCATAAAAACAAACAAACAAAAAACCACTTCACTTTGATTTGAAAATTTATCAACAAGCTGGTGATATTTTCTGTAATTTGGAATTGTCTAAAGAACTGGGTAGTTTCTGCTGAACAACAATTTAAGAGGTTACTGATTTTAAAGCTGGAGACCTTTCCCTAAATGCAGCTTTTCTCTCTTCCAAGTCTTAACAAAACTATAATGTCGTCTGCAAAAGCAATGCTAAAACCACCCTCCTTTGGGCCTCCTTTAGCTCTTCCTTAAATTAGATGAGTTTTGCAATGGACTGCAAACTACAGGCGAACTTCATGACATTGTCCAATACCATGGCAGTGAAATTTTGACAACTCTCTTTGCTTCCACAAGCCAGATCCCAGTACTGTAACGCTGCTTGATGGTATATTGATCCAGTACTGTTAAACCTCTAAAAAAGGGCTACAAACATGCCAGCCACTGACTATGGGGGGGAAAAAAGCCCAAACCTGCAAGAAAACACTCATCCCCAAGGTCTGCTCATAAAAATGTGTGTGTGCACTGAAGGAGCTTTGCAACAACGAGAAGGACATTTTTCAAGCAGGCAGAGAGGCAGCTGAAGGTAACTTATTTTTCATGGTAAGTGATTTCTGTCCTTATCCTATTTAGGATAATCCTAATACTCCTCAACAAAACCATAATTACAACAGGACCCTGACAAATTATGCATGTTCTGAAACAGCAGGAAAGAGCAATGCACAAGAGTGCAGTTTATTGAGGATCAGAGAAAAAGAATATTGTTTAATGGCTGAGGTCAAATCACCTTTGTCATTCACATCTGCATCCCTGGAAGACAAAGTCATTAGCTGAGCCTATTGAAAAGGTATTTCTACGCCACCTTTCCTAGCAGGAAGAGAGCACACAGCAGGAGGACCACAGAAGAAAATATTACTTCAGAGTATTCCTGACCAGTGACTACCCCGCAGTGTTTTGAAAGAGGGTTAAAATACGAGAGGTTTGGTGCACTCCACTTTTCCCAAGGCATGGAGGCCAAAGACAGGTTACATGTGAGCAGAGACAAACAGCCTTGTGCAGTACCTAAACCATCCTGTTCTCTTTTTCTGAAGCTGGGCTCTCAGGACAAGCTCTGTGTCCTCCAGCAAGCTGATTGCAGATTCCTCTGATCATTTACAATATACTAATTTGTATTTTCCTGCTAATAAATCTCTACTCTATGCCATCATTTTCTTCAAAATTTGTATTTTTATAGAATCAGTTTGTCTCTAAAAAAGTCTCCGGCAAAACTCACAGTGAACATATCAGAGGAGGGGAAGGTTGCACTGAGGATATCATGAAGCTATGCAGCAAAAAGAGCCCATGTAAACAAGCTTACAATCACTCTGTACACGAATGCTGTGAAACATGCCCATCATGGTTCACTGGAAGCACCGCCGGCTTATTAAACAATGCTCTAACACTTAATTATCCAAGTCAAAATTTGTATTATTTTTAATAATGTCTCTCTGCTGTAAAAAACAAAACCAACATTTCTTCCTGTAGAAGTAGCTTTGCTGTCAGAGGACTTCCCTGCAAAGCAACATTGATTTCTCTGCAGTATCTACAGATAATTAATTCTCTTTTTTTAAATAACTGGCCTGTAGCTTGCTGTAAACAATTCTCCTGAAAGCTCTTGTTGGTTCTGTAAAACCCAATGGGCCAAGTTGTTCACTTGCACCCAAGTAATGCAGAAGAGTGATGATTAAAGGCCACTTTCTTAAAAACAACCCCCATCCCCACATCCGACAAGGTTTGTCAAACACTCACTTCTCCCCACACAGACTTTTTTTTTCCTATTCAACCACTCTGCAAAAGGCCAAGACTTCTGCCCTCTCAATCTCCTATAGTTGCTTATCTTCTCTTTCTCTTTATTTTTACACATTCAAATTTTATATGGCTCTGTATGGACCACATAACCCACATAACGTACTCGTTCCTACTGAATTGCAAGCCAAGACACCTCCTTCCCCCCAAAGCCCCCAAGCAGCGTTAGAGGTGATGAGGCTGAGTAAAACACTACTGTTTACATGAGCCAGCTGGTAAAGCGCTATCGCACTCCCATCCATGATGTGTCCCCTGCCCTGCTCCCACGACCGCCGGTCACCTGCAGCGCCCAAACATTAAAGATCATACACACCCGGACACAGGAAAATGATGGTTCTCTGGCCACAAAATGGACAGGTGCAGCCTTCTTGCTTCGGTTAACAATTTACTTCATTAACCTGTGTCTCTCTCTCCCTCTCCCCTGTTTTGTTTTTTTTTTAAACAGCAATCAATATTCATCACCCCACCCTGCAAAAGCAGTTAGTCAAAGAATATTAGCATCAACCTACCATTCCTTGCTTGCGAGCTATTCTCCTCGTCCAGAAACCTTTTCCCCAAACTGCGACTTTAGGTGGTATTTTTAAATCACATTCCAAAGAGTGCCGAGGAAAAAATGGGCTATTTATAATAATAGAAAAAAAATAATGATAATAATTAAAAAAAAAAAAAAAGATGGGCAGCTGGTTTCGAGGTAAATCACGGTTTTCCTTTAAAGAACAGAATAAAAGCCTGGGGGATAGGGTAGAACAGAACAGAAAAAGGGGAGGCAAAATGTCTGATAATAATGAAATAAAAGGGGAGGGGGGGGGAAGAGTGGCTTGCTGAATCACGCTCTTTCACTGCCTGGAAACCATTGTGCAGCGTGATGCTGGCTGTACCATTGTGGAACCTACCAGAGGAGACAGGCAGAGCTTGGGGAATGGGGCTGCTATGGCAACTGAAAGGAGCACACATGACGTCAAAGCACACAGAGGTCTCGCAGGGGGAGGGAGAGAAAAATCTAATCTGCAGCCACAGCTACGGTATCTCCTGGAGAATCAGGGGATAGAGCAGACTGCAAAGGGAAGCTGAACAGCCTTCTGTAGCACTCACCAGCAGCAGCTCAGACATCTGCAGCATCAGGCAGCTAGGCAGCGCAGAGGGAAGGTAGTAACAGCAGTGTAGATCTGCTCTTTTGTTTACATTAGCTGCTATACAAAGGCATAAATGCCCATCACCCTAAAAAAACCATCCAAATCCTTAAAATTCAATTAAGTATCATGCTTGGGAGGGGGATAAAAAGACTTTAAAAAAAATAATAAATCACAACACATCTCCTTCACAGCTATAGAACGCAGATATTGCTTGCATGAACAAGCAAGGCAACTCCTGGAGTCCCTTAGAAGCCCAAAGACCTGCTAGAGATTTCCACATTAACAATATGTTGTGCCCACTACCAGAATGTCCCAAATCTCACTTCTAAAAAGTCTCATTGCACAGAGGAACTATTGCATTTTGAGCTCATAGAATCAAGTAGAGTTGGTGATGACTTGTAACATCCTCAAGTTGAAAAGTTAAGCAGATGACATTTGTTCTGCATATGTCAAACTACAGGGTGTCTCCTCTCTTCTGACATTAAACAGCAACGAAAGTACACTGGAAGGCTACTACACTTCCATGAGACTAGACTTCCATGAGATTTAGGCTGGGATAAGAGCTAGTCAGAAATATTATCACAGAATCATATGATGTTTTGGGTTGGAAGGGACCTTAAAGAGCATCTATTTCCAGCCCCCCTGCCCCGAGCAAGGACACCTTCCACTAGACCAGGTTGCTCAAAGCCCCATCCAACCCGGCCTTGAACGCTGCTAGGGATGGGACAGCCACAGCTTCTCTGGGCAACCCATGCCATTGCCTCACCACTCTCACAGCAAAGAATTTCTTCCTAATATCTAAGCTAAAACTACCCCCTTTCAGTTTAAATCCATTCCCTCTTGTCCTGTCACTACACGTTCTCATAAGAAGTCTCTCTCCATCTTTCTTGTAGGCTCCCTTTAGGTCCTGGAAGGATGCAATTAGGTCTCCCCAAAGCCTTCTCTTCTCCAGGCTGAACAATCCCAATGCCTTTCCTTATACTATGGTGACTTTCTATCTTGCCAAAATACCCAAACCATTTCCTTCAGTACATCAGTTTCATTGGTCAAAAAGAACACAAAGGAACTCACTGCAGCTTTCCTGCCAGTGGTCCGAATATTCCATAGGTTTTACCACACCCAGAGCCAAACACAATCCTGTATGACCTGGAACTCCTAACTACAGACAAAGTGAAGTCATTGGCTGTGGTTGGGCCCTGAGCTATCGATTGCCCATTTCTGTCTACATATACCACTCTCCTTTCTCCATTAGCCTGTTTCTCCTGGGTGTTCTTATTTTTTGGAAGTGAAGGTTTTCATCTTGATCTCTGCATCATTCCTGCATACATACATACATACATGCATGAAGGTCTGAACACCTTTATTTGCAGTGAGAAAAAATTCTATAGTTATAACTCTTCCGCACTTTTTTTTTTTAATTTACTTAACAGCTCTATCACAAGCCAACAATCACCACAGAAAGTCCTCCCCACACTGTGCTTTATACTAAGAGAAGATTGGATGATGCATAGTGAAGAAGTATGCATAGGTACATTATGTGCCCAGAGAGCACCCTGCCATTGTCACCAGCATCCTGAGGAGGCACCAAGGGCAGCAGGGCACAATCTCCACCACAGTTTGCAAACACCTGCACATTAGACATAAGCAATAAGCCTGATAGTTTTAATGTGTCAAGTTACTGGCCTCAATAACCACAGCATATTTGACTGGGTAAGCTTCAGAAATCTACAGTTTACTAAACTACTTTTTTTGAGTGATGGAGGGGAGGCAAAAAAGATGCTGCAAGATGTGTAGCAGAAACCGTAACTGGTAGTAACTACAAGATATTGAAATAAAAAAAAAAACCACAAAAACAAAAACTCTCATCACAACATCGACAAAAATTTAAACAGGCAGATTCCACATCATCCTTAGAAACACAAAACCCTTAATTCCCTTTTTGTCTCTGTAATAATATTCTTTCTCACATACCATAGCACATCTACTATCAGTGTCTAGGACATTACTATCATATTTGCACAAGAAGTGAGTACTTCTGCTTCCAAGGCAGAGGGGCTCCGAGCAAAGGAGCCTCCTTTTACTCTGAGAAAGGTTCCATCCCTTCTAGATCCTACAGAATACCCTGAAAAGAGAATACCCTGAAAAATTACTACTGTTGTGAATCTTCTTCAACAAAAAATACATTACTGTTAGGCAAAAGTCCAGAATGAAATTACCTCTTTGAAGAAAGTCTACATATTACCCTCTTTTTGGAGGGGGTCTCTTTATGGCAAACACCTATTAAAGGCTTTTGCTCATTTGGTGAAAGACTCCACCTACAGCAACCATACACAAATATACGTACACCTATATGCACAAGTTTGTTACTCATCTGAAAAAAAGGGGCCTTTTCCTTAAAAATACGTCCATACTCATATTTTACCCAAACACATGTATTACCCAAAAGGTTCAGGATGCAGTAAAGAATAATTTTTCTAGAAAAAACCCACACTATTGTGTGAGTCAGGAGAATGCCTTTGAAAATAGGTGGTGCAGAAAGGGTAAAGGTGGCTGCTTTTGACATAATTACAGGGCTGGCGTTGGGGAAAGGGAGAAGAAACAAAGAGCCTAAGCTCCTGCAGAGGTGTCAGAGGCTTTGGAGATTAATTAGGGTATTTATCCTTGAAACAACATATCTAATGGAAAATCGCAGCTTTTTAAATGCTGCTTTTTCCAATGATGTTGCTTCCCCGAGCTCAACAGCTAAACCAGCATTTCTCTCCACATTCGTGAATGATTACAGCTTGCTCTTTACAGTGTCCTGCAGAGATGGTTTACTGGCTGGGCCGAGATACACCACCATGCCAGCCATAAAATGCATTCCACACTGGAATTAGGCCTCAGCTAAACACTGGAATGGCCTGACACAGTGCATACAATTTGCATCAAATAATTTAAATCATTTTAGGCACCTGTTTCCTAGAATAGCTGCCCCAACCTTAACTGGTAGACATGCTCTCTTGTATCCCTACTTAGGGCCTTAAAAGCACTCAGTGTTGGTCTTTTCTAGTACAAAACATCTTGATTCACTTCAAATGTGAATTCCAAAACAAAGTTCATACAATTTGTAGCACAGGAGATGAAAATTAGACTGTACCTCTGTCACTGATTTTCATAAGAGATACTGAGAACACTGAAGTTTGGAGAACAATTATGTCAGGAGTTGCTCACATTCAGTCCTGTATTTATACAAACAAAAAGATCACTCTTAAAAAAATAACTGCCATAGTGAGATTCTGGTCCATCTGTGTTTCCAATTTCTTGTTTGTTGATGCTGTTTAGTTAAAAAAAATAAAAATAGATGTAGGTAAATGAGGCACTCTTTATAAGAATTAAGCACTGCTTTTAAAGAATAGAGGAAAACAGCTGTGACTCTGTGCTCACCTTCAACAGTGTTTATATGAATTTTCTGAAATGGTCCTACCACAACAGAAGTACTACAGAAGTACTAACTCTGCCTGCCATGGAAGCACTCTGTGACTCACAGGTAATCCATGTGATGTCTAGGACTAAACTGGAATTGCTGAAGCAGTTTATGCCATTTCTCCCAGAGCCTGCTGCATGGATGGCTGAATGTAGCAACTCCTGAATTGCCACAGTTTGCAATCCAGCATACTAAAGCAATCTGAAATTGGCAATGGCTTAATGCACTGGGTTGGAAACTGTGATGGTTTAAGAGCTGCTACACACCCAATTCGGCTCTGCCTGCCTTACAGAGGTCATATTCCTCTCAATGGCCAAATGAATCACATTAAATTAAGGACACTAAAATAAAACCCTAGCGAGCAAGTATTTTCATTTTTTTAAGGCATAAAGCAACAAATAATTTCTAAAACAAATTCTTCCACCCAATTCAGTGCTAGAGCTAGAACTAAGTGACTTCTCAGCATCACCTTCAGCCATGGTTTTCTATGATTCCAGTCTGTTACAACATTGCACTCTCAAGTGGAACAGTGAAGGTGTGCCACAGGCTGTCTGTGGAACCAGACACAAAACGCCACTGCTGCTCTCCCTGGGTATATGCCCATTCTACATGAAATCCAAGAGTCTCTGTGCCAAAGTTATTTTTCAAGCTTGAGGATGCAATAAAATGTACTTTTTTCGCAGCTCTCATTTGTCTGATATACAACCCTCCATTGCACTAAACTTCTCTGTTAGTTTCAACAAAATCCAAAAGTTTGCAATGTCTTAATTGCTTTTGTTCTGTCTCATTCTCAAGAAAAAATTACTGGTGAAGGTGTACCTGGACTGTATCCCCAAACAAATAATAATCTTGGATTTTGTGCTCATCTCCATCAAGAGGCCTTTGAAGCTATTTCATTTTCCATATGATTATTACACTAATGGTCGAGAGAGGCTTTTGAAAAAGTTAAGGAAGCTACACATACTCCTATTACTCCCCTTTTACCCCCTTTCCTTCTACTACCTCTTCACTGTCATACCATGAAGAAGTGTACATTTAAATCTCAGGATTTCTTTAACTTTGCTATACAAATGGACAAATGTAACATAACTAACCTGAGATGGAGAAATAACTGTGACTGGCATCATGTCAGCTTTTTGGTTAACTCTGAGGTTGAAAAGAACAATCTAAATAAACAGTACCTTCAGGTGGCCTGACCAATACAGAGTTGCTGCACTTAAACAGTGTAACTGGAGACAAAGTCTGGTGACTGAGAACAGGCAGGGATATCACAGGGCAGGGCACGGCT